ATCAATGATGCCAAAACCACTTAGTCTGCAGAGACTTATGTGTATGTCTTGTTAAATTTCACTCTACTGATTTTGGATGACTCTGTCATCTGGTATAATACAGTTCATCTCAAGTCACAGGCAATGACCATTAGGGAGGGCTAGTGATAGACTCATGGAGGATCCCTGACTCCCTGCCTTTGGGCAACTCCCAATCCATTAATCAGCATAGTCTGGTGACTTAAGTTCATAATGCAATTGTCCTTCTGTATCAGGGGATTCCGGATATGAAGTTTGGAAATATTTAAGAAAGAACTGTTTCTGTATTGAACATGTACGGACATTTTTTCCTTTAAAATAAAGTGCAATAAGCATGTGTATAATATTTATATTAAATATTACAAATCATCAAGAAATCATTTAAAGTAAATGAAAGGATATACACAGGTTCTATGTACATACTATTCCATTTTATACAACAGACTTGAGCATCACCAGTTTGGGTCTCCGTAGGGAGCCTGGAGCCAATCCTCCACGGATCCCGAAGAAAGACACTACAGAGGACTGACTGCAAACTGATCCAGGTGTGTTTCTGTTCAGCTCTATTCTAGTACTCACTGTCTACTGCTGTTATCTATATTGCCATGAAATGGATTTATTTGGGAAGTAAGAGTCTTGGGTTTAAGGCAGAAGGAAATCTGTTATCTTTTGGGCTTGCTGTTGCCTTGAATGGAAATTAAGAGGAGTTAGAACACAAAATGTGAGCTGGGTGTGGTGGTGCATGCGTGTGATTCCCACACTCGGGAGGCTGAGACAGGAGCATTGCTGTGATATGGAGGCCAGCCTGGGCTGTAAAGTGAGTTGAAGACCAGCCTGAACAGCATAGTGAGACCATGTTTCAAAAAGACCAAAACACAAAAACAAACAAATGGGGGCTTGGGATTTAGCTCAGTGGCATAAGCGCCTGTGCGGTCTTGTGTGGTCCTGAGTTTGATCCCCAGTACCGATAAAAAAGAAAAAGACGAAAAAAAAAAAAAAAAAAAAAAGAAAGAAAGAAAAATAAAACAAACACAAAAACATACAAATTATCCCTCGGATTGAACAGGACAAAGTTGCTAGGTAAATATCCACGAGTGACTGGAGGATCACGAGCTATGAGTGTTACTTTGTGAGTGCCCTGGAGCAAGCACAAACACTCAGGAAGAATTTCCTAAAAGCAAATTTCTGAACAGAAGGTACAGATTCTCCAGGAAACTGCTTTCTCCTACTAGGGGGTTTGGGAGGGAAAAGGTTTTAAACGTACGTTTTTATGACAGTGTTTACATCTGTAATCTAATAAAAACAGTCATGTAGATTATATTTTTACCAGTGAAGGTTACATTTTGTAAGGAGGTAACATCTGGGTGTCTATTTTTTAAGGACTTACCCAGTTCCCTAGAAAAATCAAGGTAGTACTGAGTTTTGTGGCCAAGAATACAAGCTTGCCATCTAGTGGTGACTCCAGTACAATGAATTCCTCTCCTCTCCCTCTGTCTCCTGTCTGGTGCACAAGTGTTGCTATGGTGCTTCCTCTCTGTGCTCACTGAGGTCTGTAGTGAGGACAATGTGCCCCCCTCTGTAATAGATGAGCCGGGAAACGGGGAATGACTTGGGCTTGTCCCACGGGCTCTGTCCTCTACATTCTGTGAGGACGTAACGCTCATTCGTGTGCACCTCTCATCCATTCTGCCACTCACCTGCCACTCATCCCTACCGTTCTTATGCACCAGGCTCAATAAAAAGTAAAGGGAAAAGAATCACATAATCACTGGCATGGTTTTTTTGGAGGAAAAACTTCAGTAATCATACAATAATATATTTATAAGGGGGTGCTTTTATTGGGTGAGTTCCCATTTTTCTGTCTAAAATGGAGTTGAAACATCATTGTAAATCAGATCGTATTTTCTTATTAAAATATTTTGACCTGATGAGGAACTAAAATAAAATGTTCATATGATCAGTATAGATCTTTAAAGCTAAGCTACTTTTTATATTATGCTATAGGCATAATATGAAATAAAAATGCTAGAAGTTCTGCATACCCATTTACAGAAACCTATAGGTGAATTAGATGTTTATAAAAAACATTTTGTATTCACAAGTATTCAGCAAACAAGTAACTAGCAAAAAAAGCTATCTCACACGTTAGCAGAATTTTTCAGATCTTCAAATGAAACAGTAAAACAAAATGTGCATTGAGGTCTTTTTATTTATTGGGTAACTTTTCTTGAAGGTGCGTAAATGAATTCAAAATAATTTGTTTACAGTAACTTTACCATAGCATTTTTAGTGTAAGCTACCACATTTTGCTAAAAATGGTAAGTCCATGCATGGGGGAAAGCAGTGTCAAAAAAGTGAATATAAATTTTTACTGTATATAATGTTACTGGGAAACAGTTTTTTAAAGGGAAAATGTTATTTTTGTTACAAGTAAAGAGGAGCAAAAAACCAAGAGGAACTAGTAGTTATGTATGTCTTTGCCTTCACAAAATGCCCTTAACTTGTTCAAGGTCATGATACCCGCTAGTGGAAGAATGCAGAACTTGGCTTTGAACTTTGTCCATCTGATTTTAAATCTTCATTATGTCAAGGTGTACCCCCTACTATCGTACTCTTGTATTTCCATGGAAAGTTTAACACAGTTTCAAAGCAACAGAGATTTAACCTGCACGTAGAGGTGCCATTCTAATTTTGTTAAATGTATTTCTAAAATTTTATCATGTAATAGAGTAACCCTTGCAAAACTTGCCAACATCTGTCCCCCATAGTAAAAAATTACTATAATGGAGAACAGAATCGATAGTTTTCATGCGATATTTTTAGCCTTGTATCATGAATGACTGCAATTGTTTCTGTATGTATTTCAGATTCTTAAATTAGAAAAAAAAATAAGAAAAAGAAGGAGCATCTTTGACTTTTTGGATAATGCAATGTAAGATATGTTCCAATGTGCACAGAACTTGAAAGGATCCTGCAAATTGTAACTTTAGTAAAAGTATACAATTTACAGAAATAGATAATGCTATGATGTGGAACAAATAAACAACGGTGCCCAAAACTGAACTGGAAATGAAAATGGGAAAAAGGAAGTAAACTTTAATTTTCAATTACTGACATTTCAGAGCTTAGAGAAGTTATTAAACAAAGGCCCACTTGTACGTCCGCTCTTAAGGGACAGTTCTACATAATTCAGGGCACAGAAAGAACAAACGCAGTTGGCAGAAAATTACTGCAGTTCAAGGAGGCAACTGGGCAGAAGAGAATGTTTAGGTTGCCTACAAACGTGAAATCTGAGGTGCAATTAAGTCAGAACTCTATCATTGACCCCAGCTTCCTTCATTAGCTGTAGCCAGTAACTACAAGTTTACCAGCATAACTGCAAAGAATTAACTACTTGAATGCCTATCTTTTCTTTCTGGATGGCAAGTCCACGAAGCAATGCATGCTCACTTGTTTCCTGGCATAGGGCCTGACATGGCAAGCGCTCAGTAAACTTTCCTCTAGATGGAGTCTGGTGGCTTTAGAGTAGGTCAGAGCTACTTTGAGATCTTCGCTTTCTTACACTATTACAGCTTCAGACAGGATATCTGCCTTCCAGGCACCCAGTTTCCTTACCTTTGACCTTATGAAATGGGACATCCAAAGCACTTTGCCCATATTGGTGGTTGTGAGGAAAGAGTAAGATAATGACCTTGAAGCACTTAGCACATGGCTGAGCCCGTGGGTGGTTCTCAATTGCAGCAGCTCTTACAAGCTTTTATTTGTGTGTAGAAGTTAAGTTTCTCACCCTCTTTTAACCAAAGCATGTATTCAGATTACTCATGGGAGCTGTTTGAAATATGGATTTCTGTGCTCTGCCACCAGATTGCAATTTCTGATTTGGTAGAGATACACAGAAGTTCAGAAGTTTGTTTGTTTGTTGAGACAGGGTCTTGGTATGCAGTCAGGCTTGATTTGAACTTACCATACAGTCCAGCCTGGCCTCAAATTTATAACAATCTTCCTGCCTCAGCCCACTGGGATTACAGGCATGTAACCCATTATACGCAGCCAGAAATTTGCATTGGTAATCAGCATGTGGGAGTAATCCTGAAGGAGGGTTTATTTGGACCACCCTTGGAGAAACTGCATCAGAGCACCTTCAATTTGCAGGTTCCTGAAGACGTGGGCTAACACAAATCTCATACTGCATATGATGTCCAGGGATGGATAATGAAAGGAAAAAATTACTGCATTATATTACATTATATTATATGTACATAGCATTTATATACTATAAATATTATATATTTTACATATTTATGTAAAATTAAAGTACCAGCTGGAACAGCTGGTAAAAATTCATGCTACTTCCATATTTCTGAGAGACAGCTCCCTGTAACCAGCCTCTGCCTCTTTTCTTTTTTCTCAATTGTGTCCTTAATAATAGGGCCAAGAAGGGACCCTCATCTGCTAGTGTGGAGAGCTATCAGTGTTTCTTTAGGGATATGGAATTCAAAGCAAACTAGACAGTTTTAAAGTAGGAGAAGGCTTTTTCATGATTATTTTTATACCAAGGAGTTGGTGTCCAAACTCCTTGTGATTTATTTCTCTTAGGTTTCAGATCACATCATTACAATGTAAAGCTCGAAGTATAAGTGGACTTTCTAACTTCATGATATAAAACTACTGCAGATAAATAATATACATGTTGATGCCGCTAATGTCACTATCTTTTCCTAACCTAAAATGTCACCTACTTCTGTGCTTTGTTTCTGTTCTTTTGCTTGGCATTTGTTTGGTAGTAAGTCCAGTATTCCTTGCAGTAGATAAACAGGGATAGATTAACATCAACAATTAATTTCTCAGGAGACACTGAGCTAGAAATGAGCTTTTCAGGCAAAAATGTTTAACAGAAAAGAAAGAAAAAAAAGGGGGGGAAATTTACATTTAGGCTCGAGGGCTCGGAGTGCAGGGTGCCCTGCAGTTGGCCTTTCGCTTACCAGCAGGTTCTCGGGCTTGATGTCCCGGTGGACGATGTTGAGGCTGTGCAGGTACTTGATGGCACTAGCCAGGTTGTACAGCATCCCACTGGCATCCCGTTCGGTGTATTTGTTAGTGGAAGTAATGGCATCAAAAAGGTCTCCGCCCTGAGAAAAAAAGCAGCAGGCAGACAGCACGTTAACACATGGGCAATGGTGCTGCCTGCAGAGAAGCTCAAAAACCACAGGAAAAATGAGGAATGGATGCAGGGTCTTCCTGCCCCCTGGCTCTCCAAGGACCAAAGGCTTTATGGTGATTTCTCTTCTCATTATGAAAGAATGGCATTCCCTCCAAAGCTCAGGGTGAGGGCTCTCTGACATCGCACATGTGGCCACCTCCACAACCCCCACCTGGGAGGAGTCATGGACCTGAGTCCCCAGGGCACAGACCTCGAGAACCCTGGGGAATGTAGGTCGTTTTGTGGCACGTGCCACCTGCCTCATGCAACTTCTGGCTGAGGTGCAAATTCATAATCCTCTGCCTTCCCAAGGACAAGCGAGTAATACTGCACAGGGAACACAAGCTTCTGCTGCCTTGTGAAGTTATTCTCACACACGTGCACACGCACACTCATCTGACTCTCTAGATTTAGCTGTCTTGGAGTGGATGTAGCATTTTCTTTTTCAGTAATATGCTTCCTTGTAAGGAATGGAAAATACGGATCAGAAGCCATCACACCAAAGATGAGAGAGAAAGGGTGGGGGGGAGGGTAGAGAAATTTCAAAAGAAAGTTTTCTCCGACTATTATTCATCTGAAGTTTTGCTTCCCTTGTTCCTTGCTAATTATTGCTACTCCAGGAAACAGCAAATTTGGCCTCCAGTTTAGGTTATATTTATTTAAAACCCTTTCAGGGAATTCCTGTGTGATTTACTAACAACGTTTCCATTATTCTTGCATACAATGCACCAGACAGCCAAACACAATTCCCAAATATGTTCATCTGTTACTTAATAAGAGACTTAATTTTCTGTCTTTAAATAGCAAAAGCAAAATGCAGTCCTTGGAGGCTAACAGTGTTTAAATCTCACTACCTGGACTTGATCTTCTGTTGTCCTCTATAGTCTCCATGCTGGAAACTTCTTTTTTTAAAAATTTTTTTTTTATTTTAAAGAGATTAAGACAAAAGACATAACAAAGCAGATCAGATCAGAACAAGCATGCTGGAAACTTCTTTCCATGTGCCTTAAGCAGTAACAATTCTCAAACTAAGCACATAGTTTTATTTTGTTTCCAAATGAACTCTTCATCTCTCAACTTTGTTTTCCTCTCAAAGGGGAGGTAAGTTTTCCCATTGTCTCCTATCTCTGGGGGAGGCTGGATATGTACATGGGTACTGAATGGAGCCCTTGGCGGTGGTACACTGGGTGTGGATGGCTGCCTATGGGCCCCCACAGGGACTCCAGAATTGAAGGACAAGCATTCTGTCATCGCTTCTTTATTCTCTATGAACAGTCAACAAACCTTCCCAGTTCTGTCTTTAAAGCTGTTCTTGTATTTCTCCTTCTGAGCTACCGTATCTAATTATTCAAAGTGTAGCATCCTGTGTGGCCCCACCCTGCACAACATTTACCTTCTCTTTAGTTACTGTTGCTTTCTTTCTCTCAAAAAAATCACCACTCCTTTTCCACAGCCTAAGCAGAGGTTTTCTATGTTCCGCCTCCAATGTTCATTTTGGGTTGTATAATTTCATTTGCCTTTTTTTTTTTGGCAGCTCTGGGATTGGATGCAAGTCCTTCACACTGAGCTACATCCTCAGCTCTTCTTTATATTTTATTTTAGAACAGGATCTTGCTAAACTGCTAAGTTTCCCGGCTGGATTTGAACGTGTGATCCTCCTGCCCCAGCTTCCTAATATACTGTGATTACAGGCATACTCCTTCACTCCCAGCTGTTCTGCCATTTCCTGAGACAATAGCCTTTGTGCCCCAGATAGTGTGACAGATGGGGCATGTGTCCTTAAGAGTTAGCATTTTTCTTTTAAAGACAGAGTGTTTTCCTAACGACTACCTCTTGCTCTCCTTGCTTCTGAGAAATGGGTAGAATATGCAGATGCTGGCTCCAGTTTCAGGAAAGGAGTGAGGAGAAAAAAGCCTGAGACGGCCAGAGGATAAAACATTTTACTGTCTCTTGTCTTATTGTGTTCTCTCTTCTTACTGTATAAGGGCCTTGCACAACTGAACACAACGATACAGTTATTTGTGGCAATGTGAGGCCCTTTTGTCCCCTGGAAACAAGTTTTGAGTAAAACCTCTTTCTCTTTTCATCAAGCCACCATTTCGAAGTGGTGACGGGGCAGGGAGCAAACAGATCCGAGTGGCTGGCAATGGTAGGATGTTTCTGTTCTTGTGCTCAAACCGGCCAAAGTTTGTGGGCTCCAAGTCTGTCACCTTTAGGGTTCCCTTTCTGGAACGCCCCTTTCACTGTTTAGGGTCAGTCTTCTTTGGCCACTGCGGGCCCCCAGCAGTGTGCCTTCTTCTAGACTTCTCTTTCTCTGAGCTCAGGAGAAGCTTGCGGGAACATGGCTTGGAGGGCAGAATCCTAAAGTCCTATTGCCAGTATTTATGGAATTTCACTTAATAACTGTTGCATCCCTGTTTCCCAGAATCCAGTCTTTGTTTGTTCTATAGCTTTAGACTCTCCTGGACACACTGTTGGCCATCAGGGTTTCAGAAGAGGCCCTGGTCAAATTCCTCAGGGGAGTGTTCAAGTCAAGGCTGGGGCTGGCCTCACCTTCCCAAGAAAGACTCCAGATTTGGTCTCGAAGCAATTTTGAGTGACTAAATTTAAGGGTATTATTTCATAACACAACTGTGGGATCTCAGTGCGAGACTGAAGACCCTCTGTGACCTTGTCTCGGTCACTGAAGAACATCACAAAGGCTGGTAAGTGCAATGGGGACCTTACTATACTCCCCTCAACTAGCATATGAGTGACAATCAGATTGATTTCCCACAAAATGTGCTACAAACACTTGAGCCTTTGCCTCTTTCATTTCTCATCTCCAAATTTAATTTAGTGGCAGATCTCCAAAGTCAAGCAACAGCAGCCACCTAAACAATATGCACTTAGAATATATATGGTTTGAAGCTGTTGGTATAAAAAATAATGTCATGGCAAAAATGTTATCTTTGGTGCTAGAGAAAGTGTAATTTACAAATTTGGTAAAAAGATAATTTGATAATAAAATACCAACATGTAAATCCAAATAAATAAAATTGACCTTAGCTTGTCAGAGTGATAGTTTTACCACAAAAATACTGTCATGTTTTTGTCCTTTTCAGCCACAAACCTGACAGTAGTTTCATCAGCCTCAATCATAACCACACTCTCGCGTGACTGCAAACAAGCCTTCCCTTTCCCAGATCAAACAGGTCATAAACTGAAGTAGGAAAAAAAGGGCGAATAGAATTAAATAGGCAATCACTAAGTTTTTAAAAAGCCAGCATTTCTAAAATCAAGCAACTCTTGAAAAGAATGAGCATGTTTCTATTTAGGAATAGGCTGGACACTTTTCTGCACAGTGACAAGTCGGTGTATTAAATGGTTTTCTTGTCTTAAATCTGAAAGGAAAGAAAATCCCATGTTACACGGTCACCAGCTAAGCTGTAAGATTCAAGAGTGATCCTCAAGCACTGGACTCTGGCTGCTGGTACACAGAACTATTCCAGAAAGGAGGACAGGGAACTTACAACACCTTACAACCAAAGTAGCAATCACTGAAGTTTTCAGGTAGGTTAGAAGACCAGAAAAAAAATTTCAAGAAAAAATACCTTCAAGAAAGTGAAACATTCTAGGTTTTAAAACTTCTAATTGCTCAAAATTTGAAATGTACGGAAATGATGAGAATAGTCAACCTTACCAACACCTGGCTGATCTGCTATTCTATGTTTTCATAGAGTAAAAAGAAAATTTTATGTAACACTGAGATGACACTATTCTCTGAAAAGAAGTGGTTTATTTACATTATTATTATTATTACTATAGCTGTTATTATTTTATTATGTTGGTGACTAAAAATTTAAAGTCTTTTTGAAAAATTGTTGATACCTTTGGATTTAGTTCATAGAAATATTAACAATATCCTACTACAATGATGACAAAAATTGTATTGGTATTTAACACCTGTATTAGACAGAGGGGTGAACATGAGGCACAGGGAAGTGTGCCTTAGGTTGAGGAGCTACATGGGCAGGTCTTACGTCCTTCTAGTATAGTTCCATCATTATTCATTTTATTTTTCAGTGCTGGGGATCAAACCCAGGGCCTGGTGCATGCTAGGCAAGTACTTTACCATTGAGGCACATCCCCAGTCCTGCATTAAATATTCTTAATCACTGTGCCAATACACAGACATGACAGACTGGATACTGGTGGGGAGAAATAAAGAGAAGATCACTATAACCTAGGAACGCATGATGCTATACATGAAAGTTTATCTCTTTTCCAAAATGCGCACCTTTACTAATTCCATGACAAGATACAGCTCAGTTGGCACATCCATCTCCTCAATCAGAAGAACTATGTTGGGATGCTTCACTCTTCTTAAAATAGACACTTCGTTCTGGATCATGTGCTCCTGTCCAAGGGAAAAGTTAACTTAATCAGTATGTACAAAACCCAGGAGAAGCTGACTCAAAATAATACAATTATACTGTCAGATGTATTTTGGTAAAATGCAAGCTGGAAGCCTAAAATTATTAAAGGATATTGAAGATCTCTAGATGATTAAATTCAAATGATTAGGTCACAAAAATAAGGAAAGAAAGTAAAACAAAGATAAGAAATTGTTCCAATTAACTTTTATTCCAAGAATATTTATAAAACTATATTCTAACCAGCATATAGCATTCTGTTCCACCAAAATGCAACTCTCAGGGTGAGTTTGTGTTTATTTGGAGTTGATCCCTGTTTTCACTTTAGAACCCTTTTTTTCCATAAGAACAAACTTTACACATACTTTGCCTCGACATTTGCTTTTCTTGATGATTTTCAGAGCATACTCCCTAGCAGTTGACCTGCAAAGAGAAAAACAAAAGATTAAATAAAATTTAACTTCAGATGAGTTGAATCATTTTGTTACCAATTAATTTCTTAACTCACAGAGGGGCATGAATATTTTGTGAAACACTCTTCTGTTTTTAAAACAAAGAACTATGCAAATATTTATGGGTTAACCAAGTGCAAGAGCAAGAAATACGCTCACATAGACAAAAATCTTGAGCTGTACTTGCATTAAAACCAGTGCTATTGCTGCTTCCAAGCTTAACTCCTCCTCCTAAGTTGTTCCTCTCTTCTTGGAAGTGAGACAGCAAGAATGAAAAGCAGATGTGAGTTTCTCCCCTCCTTCTGGCACAGTCTTCCTTGAGGTTCTCTATCCATGAGGGCAGCACCATTTTCTGAAGTTTTCTTAGGGTCGCGAAGAAGCAGATACATCTAGATTTCAGTTCAGTGTGACAGCCTTTCTGTGAGTTTTGTTAGAGAACTCAGGGATGATAGACGTATTTTCAAGGGGTATAGGAAAGAGTACAACTATTTCAGGACTCTTTGGATCTTTTTTAGCTGTCTCATTTAACAGGGAAAAATGGAGGGTACAATTAAAACCCATTCACTTTCCCAAAGGCACATTCCAGTGTTAAAATCAGGTTTCTTATTTGAAGCTATAGTATATGAAGTTTTATCCAAATATCTCAAGGAAAAAGACAGACACTATGGTAACTACTATTAAGTCGGGTTATTTGGTGGTAAAGTACTAGGTTGCTGAAACAGTCATGCTTTGAACTCTATTGTTATATTGTTATGTCCTGTTTTATCTCAATCTCCCCCTTATTCTTTAAAAAAATTATTTAGTTATTTCTTATGTTTGTTTTAATTAAGGGGAAAAATTAAAAAAATTAGGATATATAATAGTAACTCATGAAGAGCTATTTTTCTCTCATATATTTCCAGTAAACACTGACTCCCCCTCTAACCTCCTTCTGTCCACAATTTCATTTTTCGACTTCATGAGACAATAGCCAGGGTTTATTTGATGATAGCTGTGTAACAAAACTACTGCCCTCCCCAGGACCGCCACACACTACAGAAGGCTTGGATTATATGAGGGTCCCTTTCTTCTTAAGGAGCTTCTGAAGTCTTTGAAAGTTTGAACATCTTCAAGAGGGAAACAAAAATTTGAAGGATTTCTGGGTTCTGCTTTTCATCAATCATTAAAAGATTACAAGAAAGCAATCTGAGACTAGAATCTATAAGTAATTTTCTCTCTGATTTAAAATGTTTCATTTGATGGCAGGGAATCCATACCTGCACTGACAGCTTTGATCCCACCAGATATTTCTGGCAGGGCCAGAAACGGGAAGGTACTTTGTAAGGCTCAAAACTCAAAGTTGGCGTTTCCCTGTACCTCTGCAACATGGAATGTCAGATTAATGGCCTGGGCTGTTAACACAAGGGGATTTTTCAGCTATGTGATTTCCATGTTTGCCATTTGATCCTCATTTTCCTTGTAAGAATCATGTCAAAGCACTCCAGGCAAAGGGCTGGTGTGGGATCCAGGAAGGCTGCATCCTCCTCCAGTTAGTCAAGAAGCAGAATTCCCAGTAAGTATATGGGTGGGTTGGCTCCCAGGAACCCTGGCTAGCAGTCTTTGTCCCAGAGCAAGACTGCACAGCGGGGAACACAAGATTGACTGTGGCTTCCCTCCCAGGAGTCTTTCATAATATGGTTAAACATTCCATTAAATTTACATAGCTTACATCAGACAATAAGCCTCATGGAGGACCACCAAAATTAATTCCTCAAGGACAGAACTATAAAGTTATACAATAAAATCCTTAATGACTAAAAGCATAGAATATGTTTATAGGAAATTAGCTGGGCTGCAAAATGAGCCTGAAAACAGGTGTCAGGACTTAATGTAAGCTGTAAGAATACAAATGTAAGCACTTTCTCTAACTGAAGACACTTAGCCAGAAATAAACCTTATAGAATGTCTTTGTGTCCCTCCAAACCCTGAACTATGAATACAGCTGTATCTGTAATTGTTTGGCAAAGAGAAACAAGCATGGAGCTTTGGTAAACTCAGAGATGAACGAAGCCTGCTCCTTGTCCTCAGGAGTCTGCAGTTTGGCCGATGGAAAAGAACTTCAGACACCTGGCTTGCTGATGAAAAACACAGACCGTTGGCTTGTTCGTTCCTGAAATTATATTCTTAACCTTTCGTGAGCCCCTCTACATAAGGCAGCAGCGACAGAAAAGTTTGGCTTCCTCCTCATCTCAGGGAAATCAATTTGTAAGGTCATCTTTCTACTAAATATGAACCAAGGTTGGAACCTGAGCTACCAGAGACAAATGTCCAAACTTTACCGACTTGAACTGACTCTAAGTTTTATGCGTGTACTTAAAACAATTTGGCAAAAACTGTCTTATTGAACTTCATGCTTCTCAATCTGCACCCATCTTCCATCTACTGCTGTTTACCTAGGGAGCAGAGCAGAATATGCATCTAATGGGTAAGGGTTACTCTGGGTTAAGGGGTTTCCCTCTTTGTAGGTTCTGTTTTGATCGTTTTTAAAATGTGGTAAAGAAATTCAGCTTCCCATGCATTCCTCTCCAGAGCTTTTACTGAATTCCACAGCAATCTTTTGTGTAAGGCTAAAGTCCTAGATACACAGGCTACACGTTGTCTTTCTCTGTGGCCCTACAAATACTCAGGGTGGCTGAACTTTAGGAACTCCACATTTTTTGGTTAAGTTATGCAACTGCTAGAGGATGATTGCAGTTCATAGAATGATTAGAAGACCACTTTCTAACAAAGAGGGGTTAGTAAACAGTCTTCTTTGTTTACAAGTAATCATCATAAAGTCTTATCTACTTCTAGGGCAAGAGGTAACTGTCAATGGCGAAGAATCAAGACATTCAAGAGCGCCTTGTCAAACCTCTCTGGGCTGAAATTTCTTTCTAATATGAGAAATAGTGGGTTGGCTATCAGGTGCTAGAGTCCTCAGGCAAGAAAGAATAGCAATCAGCTATTTCAGAGATGTCTAAACTTTCTTCACCTCTCAGTCCAAGTTCTCAAGGAGCTGTCTTAAAATTTAGGTGCGTGGTTTGAGATTCTTAAGAAATCAATAGATTTTCTAGGTGGATGTAACCTATGTTAATGACACTTAAATCTTTAGTTTCTGATGGATTAGAGCCTGCTTACACCCATTGTTAGAGTCAGAAATTATATTAAGCAATTCTTCAGGCTTGTAGGTGGAGGAGACAGAGAAAGAGAGAGACAGAGACAGAGAAAGAGACAGAGAGAGATAGAGAGGGACAGAGACAGAGAGACAGAGAGACAGAGACAGAGAGAGAAAGAGAGACAGACAGACAGACAGAGACAGAGAGAGAGATTAATGCCTGAGATTTTAAAGCAGCTCTGGTGCCTTATCACTAAAAATGCAAACAGTGCAAGAGAAAGGAAAGCTGGGAGCTTTCTAGGTTTCTGTCTCTGCTCATGACTGCATCACACACGCCCCTGACATGTGTGTCATTAGTCTACACGGAGCCAAGAGAGTCACACATGAAGGCTACTTTCCAGAACACTCCACCCTGGTGCTCTGACCTCTCCTAAGTGCTCTGCAGCTCTATGAATTTGCCTTAGTGAACTCAGAATGTTCCACGAAACAGGTATATCAAGCATATCTCTCTCAGCTGAAGTCAGCAGCTATTACTCTCCTTAGCCCGTCCTCAGGGGCCCTTTGGCCATTTGGAAAATTGCTTCTGAAGCACAGGCAGAAATCTCAATGGATCTAGCCACAGGGCACTGCCAAAGATACCCTGGCACAAGACAGAAGGAAGGACCTATGTGACCCTGTTACTGTGTGCATCACTATAAAAAATCTGCCTGTAACAGCACATTATTAAAAGCAGGGGAATATGCTTGCCCATGTTAATATATATTCAACCCTCAAAATATGGCAGAATGTACCCGCAAGCAATGTGTGCCACTCACAATATTTTTTAGTTTGCTTTCATTTTCTTGGCCCTCTGGAAAATATTAAAAGAATGTTTCATGATGCCTCTGGGGAGAGAGAGAGGGCACATGCCATATGTCCTTGTTCAGCAGGAGCTGACTACTGACACTTTGAGAGCAATCTGGTTTTTGGCTCTGGAGTTTCATACAGTGAGACCCAAGATGTAAACTCATACAAAATGGATATCATCCAACTTAGGAAGAAAAGAATTCATCTGGATGGAGAAATAAGAAATCACTAGTGAGAGGCAGCAGGGACGGCAGTGCTAAGATGCCATCCTGATTTGTGGACCAGCTAGGAGAAAGAGCACATGTCCACTGTGTCAGACTTAACAGATGACAAGTGTTGGCAAATAACCAGACACCCCACAGGGAAAGGCCGTGGCAATCTGCTAACGACAGAATTTTCTGCAACCATGGACGTAAAGTTAAAAAGCATTAGATTTACAATCAGTAAAAGTATCAATGAAATATAAAATTATATATTAAAATGTATATGCATATATGCACTTGCACGTATCTCTCCCATCATCTTAGGAATGGTTTTCCCAATTTGTCTTATCTGTATAGGGCTAAATGAAGTGTGTGTGTGTGTGTGTGTGTGTGTGTGTGTGTGTGATCTTGGCTCAGCTAAATCAGAGTCTGGTGGGAGACTTCTCTAGGCAGTGGGATGGAAAGCTTAGCTGTGTGAGTTTGGAATCATGGCTCTGATTTGTGTCTTAGCTGAATGATCTTTGGTATTTAACTTGTTCAGTCTTTCTTTCTATACATCAAGGTCAACAATACTGACTTTATGGAATCGCTACGATAACTAAATTAAATATCATAAATTACGAGTCTTATAGATAGTTGATGCTCAGTAAGTGGTGAGTGTTTTAGAAGGTAGGAGGCCAGGAAAGCAATGGAATTTTTGTTTGTTTGTTTGTTCTTCTGTTTTTTTTCACATCTGACAACCAGTGAGACAACCAATGGCCAAAGCCCATGAGGACAATTAATGAATAAGGGAGAGAGAAAGGTGACCTGGCAGCATTCACACGAGGGGTTTTCCAGTTTCTGAGGCACACCCTTCTTTCATGGAGAGGGGATTGCTACAGGGAGCTGTTGACCCTGCTGCAAACACTGTTTTCTAGCCTGGCTGCACAGTGGAGGGGAGCAAAGCTGGAGACACACTGTACAAAGGGAGCTTAAAGAAGGCTCTGCTCCCACAGTTGGGAACTTCTAAGTCATTGCAGGGCAAGGCAGGGAGCACATGAGTACGTAATGATGAGACTAAGATCCCCTGTGTTACCTGAGGCCCTTCACAGACTTTCACCTCTAATGTGGTGCTGATTTGAGCTTCTAAATCAATGCCTTGGAGAAGAACCAGCTCTGGCTTCTCCAGGCTGAATCTTTCTTGTCTGTCTTCTAGTCTGAGGGATCTTCTCCAAGTTGCAGCATAGGAATATGATTTACAAGTGGTGCTAAAGAACTAGCAGCGTCCGTCCTAACCGGAGCAGAAGGAGGATGGGACCCCACAGCTCCTGATGGCCAAGTGACACACTTTCCAGAAACGAGGCAAGTCCCCCTTGACTGGCCATCTCTGCCCACTCACTTCTGAGAAGAAGCTGATGGCTGACCAAGTTCCCTAAAGCAAACTACCCAAGAACAAAGATCCAAATCTGACTGAGTTGGGATTTGAAGTCACCTTAGTCTGCGCTGTAACCTTATTAATTGCTATTTCTCCATCTAATAGTCACGAACTATTGTCCTCCATTACTATCAAGAACCAACCGATAAAGCCGGGCGTGGTGGCTCAAACCTGTAACCCCAGCACTCAGGAGGCTGAGGCAGGAGGATTGTTGCAAGTTCGAGACCAGCCTGGGCTAGAAAGTGAGTTCAAGCCCAGCCTGACATAGTAAGACTGTCTCAAAAAAAACAAAACAAAACAACAACAACAAAAACCCGACAGGTAAGTTTTTACTCTAAAACCTTCCTTTTGGCTCACAAGGTAACTGGATCACTCATTTTAATATTTTAATGTGGTAAATACCACTTTTGTTGGAGTCATATGTATTTTGAAACCTTTCAAGATTATAATTTTATGGTATATGTGTTAGAGATCAAACTCAACAAGAATGTTCTGAGAGCTACAAAATACTTTTCAAAAGAAGGATGGGAATATTTTTTCAATATGATTTTTTAAAATAATATGAAAATTTACCTAAAAGAGCTGCCAAAGATTTGCTGAGTACATTAAAAGAAATCAGTCTTTAAAAAAAAATAGATTAAGGATCACTACACTTTTCAAGTCTGTTGTTAGATGGCTTTTCTTTAAGGTTTTTTTTTTTTCATCTGGAGTTGAGACATTAACTTATTCCATATGTGCCACAGACTGCAAATAGAGACACCGTCTTAGAAAACAATGCCAAATGTTCCCTTCAAAGTTCCATGCAAATGATGTCCTCCTCACCTTTCCACACATTCCTTGACAACAGCAAAGTTTCCGTCCCCTATTGTCCTTCCGACTTTGTAACGTTCTGTTATCGTGGCTGGAATCTGGAAGCCTTCCTCTGACACTTCTGAAAGAACCATTAGGGCGGTTTTATTGGTAGAAAAGGGGACACAGATGTTATACAAGGAGACATTTAGAAATATCATCTAATAGACTGGAACTGATTCAGAATTAATGTCACTTTCTGTACATGAGGTGATCGCCTCCTCCTTCCCAGACCTTGTACATACTCAACAGCTTTTAGGAAGAGAAGTGACAAAATAAAAAGAAACCTATGGTGTCCACTCCCACCAGGGCCGACTTATGTTTTCTGTTGCGGTGAGAATTCTGAAGAGGCAGTTTCACATTTTTACTTTTGTTTTTCTTTTTTTTTTCCTTCATGTCAATATGATCAATAGCATCTACTGAATCCTGACTGTGTAAAGGATAAATAACTTTCCTATATATGGCACAGGAGGAAAATTCAGTTCTTAAGGTTCTCTGTGCTGCTTGACATGGTATGAGCATGAAAAGTCCCTGCTGTTTGGATACATGGTTTTACTACATCCTGAAATGGAGATCTCCGTAAAATTCCTTATGAACTAAGCGTTGATTGCCACCCCTCCCCACTATCAATGAGCACATTTTAGACAAATGTTCTCACCAGCAACCTGCATAGCAGATGTTGAGTTACAATTGCAGTTTCTATTATGTTTGTGAACAGAACAGTTTTGTACTTTCATTTATGTTACAGCCAGCAACACATCACATTTTCCCCTTGAAAATGCATTTTGAAATATTTTACAAATGTCTAATAATGCTTTAAGTATCGAAGGCCATAACATGAAATAAGCCATGCTTAGGTCACATAAATAGACAGGATAACCTTTAACATGTTAGGAGTGTAAAAAGCCTTTTATAGTTGGGCCCTAACATTTACATGCTTTAAAGTTATAAATCCTAGCTCTCCCCCAGGCAATCTGAATGCGAAATGCGATGGAGGCCTAGTGGGTTTTATAAATGTGCTCCTCTTCTGACCTTTCATCATAAACTCAGACTAAGCATTTCTACTTAAATGAAAACCTTAGGCAGTGAACAGGCTTTCTGATGATTTTTGCTTATTCCCACACACTCCATGTCACTGGGGAATGACAGATGGAGACTAACAATTATTGGCTACCTACTTCAGGGCCTTTATTTTGACTGTTTGATGATACTGAGTCCACACCATTCTGGTTCTAGAACTGTGGAATTTCTGGAAAGTGTTGTCTAAATGTAGGGCATTTGTTGCTACTATTTCCCTGGGTATTGACACAGCTTCTTTACCTCCTTATGGGTGGCATTTTAGTCTTCCCTATAAGAAACTCTCTAGGCAGTCCCCAGATCAAGTGATCAAGCTTGGCACCCATGTTCTACTCCCTTTTCCTACCCAAAAAAGAAGCTGTAACACTGCCATTGTGTTAAGGAGTCAGACTGGGAATTATTGTGCCTTCCATGGGAATGGGAGAGATGATTAGGGATGTTTCAAATTCATAACAAAATATATGAATTTATGAAACATCTTCTATGTGACACAATCTTAAGACTCTTTGGTACTTGGGTAACCAAGTAATCATGTTTGGTTAATGGGATAACTGTGACCCTATAGATTGAAATAGAGATACCCCATTTCTTCTCCCAATGGAAATATTCACTGGAGTATCCATCCAAGACACAAGGCTTGGAATTTCTTTTTCCTGACTATTGATATAGAGTATTTTTTAGGTTTTTGGCTAAAAAATCTCAGCCAAAGTCTTGATCAAGGGCCATTTCATTTTGTTAGGTAAAGACACAAAGAAACAAAAGAGACTTATAGGTGTTTCAACTAAAAATCTGCAATAATTTCCAATATTGCATCATAGCCAGGAAATAATTCTTACGCAAATCACATATCTCATTTAATGTAATTTAAAAAAACTTTAACTTGAAGGGTGATTTCTGGGAAAATAGCAAGTCATAACATTTAAAGTAAATAAATGAGGCTGATTTTAGTAAGTGTTTTGATAGTAGACTTTTATATTTTTTCAAATGCTTTTTTCTAGTTGATTTGAACTTGGTAATAATCCCCAGGGAAGGCATGGGGGTGTTTTGCAATCTACATTTTATAGAAGAGGAACTAAGATTTGGAGGTTGAAGAGCTTTGCCCAAAAAGCATTTGATAATGTAGAGAAAAATTTAGTTATGGAACCTGAGCTGTTAGGCCACATCACAGAGAAATTCTAAGATGAATGCATTTAAGAAACAAAGAAAATGTTGCCATTTTATCAATCAATTCCTTCGGTAAAGCTGTCTTTTAATATACTGAATTTACTCAAGCTAGAGCACATTTGTGGGGTTGTAATGTCCCAGAGAGTCGATAGCCCTTAATATATGAAATGTGAGCAGAGCTTGGGAGCACAAAGGCAACAGTTACCCCATCTCGTTTCCTAAGCAGGCAATAGCTGGCCTTCCTAGGAAATGTATACCCTCAGAGGACATGAAATGTTTCCCAATTACACCATGTCCTTCCTCCTGTTTTCGGAGAGCAGATCCCATTGCTGGTTGAAGTCATAGTCAATCCTGATTGACCTTCTGAGCTGCTTAAGTTTTTCTATTTCACCCCACTTAAAATGTAAACTAGTCAGCCCATTCTCTGCCCACTACGCAAGCTGAACCTTCTCTTCAAATACCAAGTCCCAGCTCATCACCTTCCCCGGGTCCATCATTCTCATCCATCGAGCTGCAGACTTTGGTGGATGCCAGTGAAGTAGAAGAGCCACCATGCTGAGAGCTCTGTATGGGAAAAGAAACACAAAATGAAAAGAAAAAAGGAGTCAGAGTGACTGAAACTATGCAGACTATGCTCAGCCTGAAATCTTAAGAGATGGCTTCGCTTACTCCCTTGGAGGATTTGGTTTTCACCTTTGAAAAAGGAGGTCCTTAGGATATTCAACACGTCTCCTCCCTCTTCATTAAGCATTGGTAGGCTGTGTTGACTGGACCAGGCTAAACATTGTGAAAATGGATAGTCCATGACTCCTTAGTCCTTTTTCTCAAAATGAGCTTCCTTTAAGTCAGTTTGGTTGAACAGACATGAGGCATCTCACCTAGTCGTCCACAGGCTACTGTAACAGACTGCAAATAGGGCTCTTCTGGTCTTATCCAGTAATTTTTCTACTCTTACAAAAGAAAAATTATCTTCAATTTGCTTTTATGAAATATCCTAAAAATATAAGGACTCTACCTTATCACACCTTCAGGGGAAAGATAAAAGAGTGAGTTTGTTAATTTTACCGCGAGATAAAGATATAAGCAATAAACAAATTACTAGTTGAAGAATAAAAGCCTAGATCTGTGGATTACCTTATAGTTTTGATGGACTTTGACTCAGTACCCATGAGAACAAATAGAATAACAAATATATTAGAGATCTCAATAGACCGGACACCACCAAATCCTGAATATTATGAATGGCTGGGACAGTATTTTAACAAGGAGTTTTCCATCTCTGTGTCTGTTGCTTGAGAAAACAATTTTCCCACTGCAATGCTATTACTAAATAATGAACACAGTTTGTCCTAAAATATCTTCCTTCTGTTTCCCTGGGTTTATGCACTCAGCTGGCCTGGGGGAAGTGGGAGGCGGTGAGGGACAGCAGTGGTTGAGGGTGTCAGCTGTCTGTGGAGCAGAGAAGGGAAAGAGCATCTGGAGTTGAACTGACACTGAAGAGGTGACGAGGAGCAAACTTAACCTAGTTTTCTTTGGCTTACCTGTTCCCCTTTCACCTTCTCCTCATCCATGCAGCCTTAACTGTGCACAAAGTAACGGGATAGAGAGATTTTATATAATTCATTGTACCCAACAGTCTCCTGCATAGGAAATTCAAACATTTTATTTTTCATAAAATATATGTCTATAGTTGGGAAAGTACTATCTAAATCACTGCGAGGCTGTTGAAGTCAAACACTGCAGAACATGTTCCTGGATGTGACAAAGTGAGCATATTCCACTGGATGAATCCACCAACAGTGACAGCTGATGTGGCTGGGATGAGAGATAATAGCAACTTCCCTGCAGGGGATTCTTCGTATAGAGCCCTGAATGCCACACTGATCCTGCTGTGTCCCTTATGTTCCAATATCACCAAAATCCCTCCGAAATAAGGCTACTGCCTTAAGCCGTGTCTTCATCTTCTCCTACCCTGCCTCCCTCTGTGACTAGTAGTACATATTGTTCACATGTTATATTCGAAAGAAGGGTTCATACACTAATGTTGAAACAAAATTTTTCTTAGGGTGACACTAGCTATTTATAGTGTTCTGTGTTGAAGGAACGGTAAACATGAGTTTCCAAGCCATGATCTGTTAAATTTTACGAATGTCTATTTGTGAAAAACTTATAATATTGAATTAGGAGGCTAAGATGAGGCATATGTCATTTGTTGATGATTAGAGAAAATAAACATTAGTATTATCTATCACATTTGAGGGGAAAATGGATATTTCTCAGAAAATGAGACCCTTTATTTTCTGTGTCATTGCAGACGTAATGGTGCTCTAAGCACAAACCACTAAGTCACTGTCTAGAATGTAGATCTCGTCTTCTGAGCTCTCTGGTCCTTGAGTTTCCTCTGGCAGCATCAGAAATGATGTTTAACACTGTGGACACATTTTGATGGGGATGGCAGGTGCTGCCTCGTCCTGTGACATTTTAAAATTTTAGAATTAAAAGACTCATTCTTTCATGGAGCCCCAAGTTAACAGACTGATAGTATGTTTTCTATCCACTCCATACACTCAATTAAAAAATTGTTTTTTTTTTAAAATAAGAACATGAGCTACTCAATACAGAACCCTGAACCCAAGTATAGGAAAACATCTTTTAAATTCTAACATTTTATAAATTTTCTGGATATTACCCCATAAACAGCCTTATCAACCAATGAATTGCATTTTTAACAGTATTACCAAATGTCTGGTGCCCTGAATGTTTGCCATGATGACAGCTGTGTTTACTCTGCCATATGAATGAAGTCCCTCTAGATTTTTAACCTCTGCTTTAAAAAGAAAAAGTAGAATGAACATAAGTTTCCTTATGTCTACAATTGCTTGTATTCAACTTTAGCTTTGCATTTCTGAAATTGTACCCTTGGTCATCACAAATTTCCTGCTGAGGGTAGTAGACAACCAAAAAAATCTCAAAAGAAAAACGCTTATTTATTCATAAATAGGGTATTCTGAGAATACTGCTTGTTTTGTGTATTATGCTGAAATAGAAAAAAAAGATGTGTTAAACTTTTGGTGTTATCTCGTCTTCTTTTTTTCTCAAAAATAGAGGATGGTATATACTTCTACAAGACACCTGATCATCCATGGACTCAAAGAACTTTGAGGATTTGTATGAACTTGAATATTATCTATTCCATCTCACTGCCATTTAAAAACCAAAACTCCACCACAGATAGACCAGCAAGACCTTTGTCCAGACACTACCGGCACCAAGCATACCGCTTCATCATTAACATGAGACAGAGTAGAATCATTTAGTTATGTTGAAATTCTGTCCCTCTGCATTTCTATTTTTCTTTTTGTACTGGGGATGGAACTCCTGACCTCTCACTTGCCAGGCAGGTGCTTATGCCACTGAGCCACTGGATCTTTACTTATTTCTGTCTCTCATCTCTAGAGTCATTCAGTCCAGGTGTAATCCATTTTCTGCATGAGCGTGCTTCAGGCTTTTGGAGCAGGTTTGCAGGTTTTCTCACTTTCCTGTGTCCACTCCCCTGCATCTACATCCTACTTCCCTCACTTGTTCCCCTCTGGCTGTTCATCCTGTGACACAGCACCTAGATTCTCTCACTCGCTTGTGGACACTCCCCAGCTGTGAATTTCTTTCTTCAAAGCTGATGCTCAAAACTGAATGCAAGTTCCTAGTTGTTATCTGACCAGCCCAGAATGGGGAAAGATAGAGGTTTCTTTCTTGGGAATAAAACATTAATCTGCTTCAGGTCCATACTGGCTCATGAATGATAGCACACATTTTGCTCCTTCACTGTGCTCACCAGTGTGTCTCGTTTCCTTATTCTGTGTTCAACGTGCTGCTGTTTTGGTCCAAGATTTCATATGTATTCATATTAAATGTCATCTTTCTACTTTGTCTCTTTTGGATTCTGATTTTTTTTCAACTAACTGTTCGGTGCACTCTTTCATTCTCAGTTGAAGTCACTTTAGTAAACAAAGTGGTTCTTTGAGTGTGGTTGTTACCAAAATACCTCAACACTAACTTAGATTCTCCTGGAACATTTAATTATTCTTCAGTAGTCTGAAGAAGTTTAAAAACAGTAAAAAACTGTGTACATTGTTATTCTTTAGAATTGACCTAATAAGATTAATCAGACTTTATTTATGGTCAAAGAAGCTGAAAAGCCTATTTAAATTTTTGAATGCTTCCCAAAGAAGTAGATTTACGTATTCAGTTTTTCTGAGTAGATAAACTGTATTAGATGGAACATCTAAGGTTTTGCTGCAGTTAATTTGCTAATACCAAAGCATCTGGAGGTACAGTATGAAACACACAGTTATTTTAGAATTTAATGCAATTAGCTACTCTGAGAGATGTTGTGACATTTGAAATGTCATCACCTCCAGCAAATTTAATGGGAACCATTTGGCCAGGTTGCTGACACCTGGCTGCTTTTATAGCACACCTTCATAAAAGAACCGCCTTAAGTAAGAACACATCCTAAGTGTAGCTATTTAGTTTGGGATCACATAACAGATGGAGAACATATCGTACTTTTGAAATAAGTGAGAAAGCTAACATAATAGCTTTGACCACATTTTACCAAGATGTATATGATGACTATGTATTTTTAAAAAAGCAGATCATTTAAAATATTATGCATTACTCCTGTCACTTGTATTAATGTTGCTTAGTTGGGATCCACGCTGCATCAAATTTGTAAAATACATGCTTAATACAATTGATCTCATCTAAGTTGACAAATTTCACCAGACAATGTTCATTTAGGTTGATTACTTGTACTATTTCTGCTTCATTTTTCATCATGGCATAGTTACTACTTTATTTACTTACTATTGATTAGGAAAACTGGTTGAAAAGATTTAGAAGTCGAAGAGTCAGTGTCAACTATATAAAGGTTAAGTACAAACAATAAATATTTAACAAACTCTATAGCTGTCTTGGTCATCTTGACTCAAGGCCTGCAGAAATTTTGATGATGACCTGATATAACAACAGTTAATAATAATCCTGGTACAGAGTTTAAAACCTAGAGGATTCTATGTAGTATAAAAAAGTTATACATTTATAAGTCATTACAGAACAATTAGTTGTGGTTATCAACCTACAATGACCCCATTATTTGAAACAAGACGCACACACAAAAATACCTTTTTTTCCCCAAATTCCTTTGTTTGGATTCTTCATTGTATGCTCAACCAAATAAACTTTATGGCATAGGCACTTATGTGCATAAATAAGAATAAATATTAAAAAATTTTAAATGAAGATTTTAAATTTCATAAAGGTTTGGTTAAATTGTTTAAAAGACTAGATAACTGCCTGGATATGGTGGTGTACACCTATAGTCCTAGAGCTTGGAAGGCTGAGGCAGGAGGATTGCAAAAAGTTCGACGCTTGCCTGAGCTACAAATTGAGTGAAAAGCCAGCCTGAACTGCATAGTGAGACCCTGCCTCAAAAAAAAAAAAAAAAAAAAGTTAAAAAACTAGAGAACTGTTATGCATGAAACTGAGCACAGGAAGAAATAAAA